AGGGACGGAGACCCCCGCCGCGCTGCCTGTGCCTGGGGGGCCTGTCCCGTACTCACCGCCGAGGTGCGCGTAGTTCCGTTCTCCTCAGCGCCGGGGGCGGCTCCTCTCACCCACCCGCGTCACCCGCAGGGGAAGCGCGAACCCCAGAAACTAGAAACAAAATACAATTTAAAAAATAAAAACTTTCCTCGTCGCCGTCTCCCTCCCCCCGAGAGCACGAACCCAAACACACCGAGACACGCCTCCGTGACGCCCCCTGCGCAGCTCACTGGCCAGGGTTGCGCCAGCGTCCGCCCCCATTGGCCGCAGCTCCTGCCGATCACACACCTCGCCTCTTTTCACCCCTCCGTACTGTTAAGAGGATAGCGTCTCCGTAGTCTCCCCGCCCATTAGCCACAACCCTTGCCTATCACATCAATACCCACCTTTCTGCGACTTCAATTGGCTGGCATCCTCGCCATCTCCCCACCCATTGGCTACACTCACTGACAGTCACATACATCTTCCACCTAACTCATTGTCTGGCACCGCCTCCTCCTTTCTCCCCATTGGCTATACACCCAGGCCGTTGGACGAGAACGCGCCCAACTCTCGGGCTCTTCCGCACCCTTCATTGGGTTGTATTTTTATTCTCTCCCACCCATTGGATGAATGCTGGGCCCGTCACAAAACAAAGTCCCGCCCACCAAGCTGCGGGTCTTAAAAGAGACTTCTGCGTTGGTGCGTCACTGCGCGCCGGCAGCACTACCTAGCTCAGCTGGGTAAAATCACCGTCAATCAAGCACGCACAGCGGCTCCCGTGTGGTCCCGGCCAGTGGGAAGGCGTTTGACTGGTGTCCAAGTTACCAACAAGGTCTCCAGCGATAAACACCCACAAATGCAACGCCCCGCCCCCAGTTAGTTATTGTCTGAGACGCAACACGGGCACACCCGGCACCGCTTGCGACGCTATTTATCCCCAGCTTGCACCGCCCCGTGCAGGTTATAGCCGGAGGGAAACGCTATTGGGCCTGAAAGGTGTCAGTCTTAATGAAGCGCGCACGTCATTGGTGAAAGCGTTTGGGGTGTCCCGCCTATCATCTTTTTCAGCCCTTGGCAACAGTAAGCGTATCCACCATAGCTACTGATGGCGTCATAGGGCGGCTTCCCTCTAAGCGCGCCTCTGATTGGCCCGTTGTCATGCGCCGCAGAGCGCTAATCCTGAGGCCCCTCAGCTGCTTGTCTACGGCCCGAGTGCATCCCCGCAGAGCCTGATCCAGCGGCCCAGTCTCAGCCCGGCCCTGCCTGCTGCAGCCACAGTCTCGAGCGCGGCCCCAGCCGGCGCTGGGCTGTGACTCTGGCACGGATCTCAGTGGTCTCCTGGCTGCTGCAGCGGCCACAGCACAGCGCGAATCGCCTTTCTGGCGTCTGGGGGGGGGGTCTCACGCGAAACCCTTGTTTGTGACCCACAGGAACCAGGTAGAGCAGTGAGGTGACGGAGCGTCTCCTTTACGCTGCGCAGCCGCCGCCCTGCCCTAGGCTTCTTTCCAGCACCTCTGCGTTTTACACTGAAGGGATCGCAGCCTGAAGGAGAAATAGGAAGGTGCAGCACTTTAAAGACTAACAAGATGGTTTAATAGGTGATGAGCTTTCGTGGGCCAGACCCACTTCCTCAGATCAAATAGTGGAAGAAAATTGTCACAACCATATAACAATTTTCTTCTACTCTTATCTGAGGAAGTGGGTCTGGCCCACGAAAGCTCATCACCTATTAAACCATCTTGTTAGTCTTTAAAGTGCTACATAGTCCTGTTTTTTGTTTCAGCAGCACCAGACTAAGGGCTACATTTCTACCACTATCCTGAAGGAGAGGAGGGTTTTGCCTTTGATGTCAGTGAAGCCAGGTTTTCTTCCACAGTGCTTTGAAATCATGGCTGTAGTTTACTTAAAAAAACCCCCACCTTGGTCCAGATACTCCAAATTAGGCCTGGTTGGAGTACTCTGGCATCATATTTCAGGAAAGATGTGGAGAAATTGTAGACAGTCTAGAGAAAAGCAAGAAAATGATTAAAGGTCCAAAAAAAATGACTTATGAGGAAAGACAGGAAGAATTGTGTTTGTTTAGTTTAGAAAAGAAGACAGAGGGGATATGATAGGAGTTTTAAAGTACCTAAACGGATGTTACAAGGAGGAAGAAAAATTGTTCTTTTTGACATGATAGGACAAGAAACAATGGGCTTACATTACAATAAGGGAGATTGAGGTTGGTCATTAGGAAAAACTTCTTTACTGTCCAGGTGATTAAACACTGGAATAAATTGCCTAAGGAGATCATGGAATCTCCATCACTGGAGTTATTTAAGAGCAGGTTAGCTAGACATCGATCAGGGATGACCTAGTCCTAGATGGTACTTGGTCCCATTATGAGGGATCAGGGATGACCAGTCCTAGATGGTACTTGGTCCCATTATGAGGGCAGGGGCTGGACTTGATGACCTCTTGAGATCCCTTCCAGTTCTAGTATTCTATTAATTTAGTTTTATTCTGTAGATCCTGCTGATAAATATTTAGCAAGTGAGGGGAGAGCTGTTAAGGAGTGATTGAAATTATATAGAGAGTGTTTTACAAGTGTCTGCTCAGTATCATTTAGAAGTAGGGTTGTTTATAATTAAAAATGGATACTTGGACTCCAGCTGCTGGGCTGAGTCAGGACTGGGAGTGTAGTATAGCTTGGGGAGTAGGAGATCGAAGCAAAAGACATAGGGGCAGGAGTTTGCCTGGAAGGGATTATAAAGGGGGGCCAGGAAGAACCTATGAGGCCTGGGCTGTGGAAGGCACATGGAGGGTTGCCATAGAGCTGCGCGCTTTCTGGTCTCAGAATGCAAAGAAGGGATGGTAATGTGCAGATGCTACTGAGACAAAGACACATGGAACTCATTAAGCATTCAAAGTAAGCATAGAAGTCTATAAGGTAGGCTATAGTGCAGAGAGAGGGTACTGAAAGGGTGCCTGATACCAACTGAGACATAGGGGCTTTATGCAGAGATCAAGGAACAGCAGAAGCCCAGGGACAGTGTAATAGTTCTAAGGGGTACCTTGTCAACCCCTGCCTCCAGCATGTGAGAAACTTGCTTGTCTTTAGCTGAGTGTCTGTTCCCTAACATCAACAGCTCTTTAGCCACCTGAGCACTCTCCTCTAGCCAATGCTAGCCTTATTTTGCTTTACAGGTTAAAAATAGGCACACCATAGTCCCCAAGCTCTATTGAACACGCACTTGTAGCATCCAGACCCTTATCTAATGAAGTTCACAGAAATACCAGGTCTGCTTTCCCCAAAGGAACAGTTTATATGCTAGCTATGACAACTCAGGATCAGCACCTTGCTTAATATCACAGCATTTAGATAGTTCATAGTGAAAAAAAGATAAGTTTATTACCAAAGATTCAAGAGATAATAAGGATAATGGAACTAAAAAGTTAACTAGGGGGCTGTGCCCCCTTGCTTGCTATGCTCACCAACTCCCCTTCTCTGTGACCGTTTTCATGGCCAGAGAGCATGTTAATCTTGCACTGATTATACAGAATTATGAGCAAATGAAGCTGTACAAAAAAAATTGGTCTCTCTGTAACCGTTTTCATGGCCAGAGAGCCTGTTAATCTTGCACTGATTATACAGAATTATGAGCAAATGAAGCTGTACAAAAAAAATTGGTCTGTTGCTCACATACTACATGTTACAGTACTTCCCTAAACACTACATTAGTGTTTTCTTGACTGCCATTAGTCTTTTGATACCCTGTTGGCTTCTACACTGAGACAGCTGTGGAGAACAACCACAGTGAACTATTAGAAAAAAAAAAAGCTCAGTGTAGATTTAGAAAATATTAAAAATTAAATTACAGAAGTCTCTGTATCAGAGGCAGCAGTGCAATGCAGCAACCATGAGCTAGTACACGTAGGGAGCCAGCTTAAAAGCTGGCTCCTGGCGTGGACTGGCTCCTGGGGAGCTGGCTGCCACCCTGTGCTACTGAGTCTATGGGGTATGTCTACACTACCCTCCTAGTTCGAACTAGGAGGGTAGTGTAGACATACCCAGAGAGAGTAATGGTAGCTCATTGAAAGGGCCTGCAGTGGTAATGCAATGAGGGAATGTATCACAGGGTTGTGAAGTTTGGAAGACGGAGCTGGTGTTCCTGGTAGTCTATTGGTGGAAGGCTCTTGGTAACAGTCAGCAGGTGATTGTAGCTTGTTGGAGGTCAAATGTGAGATGCGAATGGTTTGATTCTAGGGGTGTGTATTGAGAAGGCAATGCAGGGAGCTGGGTGGGGGACGGCATCTAGGAGTTGGGAATATTGGCAATTGGGGGGTGGAGGTTATCTGAAGGAAGTTTTCAGTGTTGGGGGTGGTATAAGGACTGGGTTGAATGTGGAGGAGGTGGAGCAGGATTGTAACCACTCCTCCCCCACCCCCATAGGTCATGGGCTGGTAGCCGGCTCCCTGGGAGTGGGGCTGGCAGCCTGGAGCACAGTGTCTGCCAGCTTGGCTCCTGAGGAGCCAGCATGTAACCACTAAAATTTTTAGCATCTATACTGTTAGAATAACATTTTTTAATCTTTCCTACTGTGCATAATATAATTTGAAAATTAAAAAAGTTTAACTTTTAACACAAACCACCACAACACTAAATGTATGGTATCCTTAGAACTTCTACAACTAGCTCTTGTTTTCCACACTCCTATTGTCATTTTAACACCTACTGTTCCATTTTAATTCATAGATAAACAAAAATGATTTTTTTCTGGTTTTCCCCTCTCCCAGTCAGTTTTAGCTTTGAGCGAGAAATACCAAATGATGAAAATATTTTTTGTGCCTGCAGAGGAAGCTAGTGCTGTGAAAAGTTGGCTTAGCCACTGATGGAACTTGCCTAGGTAATTATTTCCACCAAGTCAGGGGAGAGACTTTGTTTAAAAAAAAAAAAAATCACTAAACATGTACCAATTAAATGGTTTCGCTCCAGCCCTGAAATTTATTATGACTTGGATAACTGAGGAGTGATTTTTGAGATGCCTATGGTATGGCAGCAGCAGTATCTTGAAAAATTCAGCATCTATCTTTGTACCTGAGGTCAAGAATGTTCTCAAGAAAATAATGTGGAGTTCGTGCTTGATTCATTCGCTTCTTTATTTTATTGCCTGCAGTTTAACTTTCTGGTGAGGTATTTCTTTCATCAATGTCTCTTGAACTGCCTTTAAAATTTCAATAGCATCAGCAAGCTGAGCACGTCCTCTAAAGTACTCTTTATTCCAATGTTACTTTGCATGAGACACTTCCATATATTTAATCACGGTTTTCTTCACAAAGATTAGGCCAATTTTTAATAAATTGTTCAAAACAATCAACCACAGAATTCCATAGAACCTTGTTAGGGAGAATTAGTTTGAATCCTCCCGCTCTCTTCAGTAACACTGAAACAAAATGGTTACAAAAGAATTTTTCAACTTCAACAATTTTTTATTCCTGGAGAAAAGGCACTTAAGTCTTTGGCTAAAGAATGCATTAAATGGGCACTGCAGCCAGAATTTATTAAGGAACATTCTTCTGTTTCTTCTTTTAAGTATCTTATCTCTTTGCTAGGTTTGAAGTATTGTGACAAAACTGCACACCACAGTTGAATTTTTGTTCATGACTATTATAGCTTTCACTGCCATTTCTTCTAGATCGGGGTGGGAGACCTTAGGCCAGGGGTGTCCAAACTTTTTTCAACGAGGGCCAGATTTGATGAAGTGAACATGTGTGAGGGCCGACCATTTTGCCTGACATTCTTTGAACCATTAAAATTAAATGCAAATTAACTATTTTATGCAAAGTTTATTGCAAACGGCATACTTTTCATTTCGTCACATGGATGACAAATCTAAACAGGTGTTAAATCACTCTGCCTTTCATATCTGAAGGCCAGATG